CAGTCTTTTTTTACTGTAGTTATGTATATATTAATATCTTTTCCTCTCTCATCTGTCTTTTATTAGTTGACAATGTAATTTAAAACCATATTTGTATATTTTGTTTTTAGACACAGTGGCATGGCCCTGATGTCGCCTATGGTCCCCTGGTGAAACAGTTTAATCCATCCACATTGTTGCACACTTGTGGCTCTTAGTTTACATATGTATGTATGTATGTATGGAATGTGCTGTTGTAATATAGAATGTAATGTAATGTAATGTAGAAGATGATATATTGTATATTGATATGGTTATTTATTATTTCCTCAGATTCCACTTATAAAATGTTGACAGTGCACATCTGGCTCCGAGGAAGCAGGCTGTGTTTGTGAAATGTGTCACATATTACTTAGTGCCAAATATCTCCCGATCATCTAAGACGCATTCTTCAACTTTTGATATTGTGTATGATCTGGTGACATTAAAGGAGAACTATGACTTAAGGGCAAATAAAAATACCCCTTACGTTGATTGTAGTAGCATCGTTCTTTTTTTCTAAATTCGCAGCACATCACAGATAAAACCCTCAAAACCTGTAGTAAATGGCCGTCTTCACCCATGCTCCAAGCTCCTTTCCTCTTAGGGGGCGTTAACATTTGATCCAGCCCATCCACGGCTTTTTTTTCAAATGATCTCATTGCTGTGGCCGCGCTTCCTCTCATCGTGCACAGCTGTGTTTTGTCAGCTCGTGCACGCAGGCTCCTTCCCCTCTCTCTCTCTCTCTCCCTGCCCTGTGTGACGCTGACATCCTCAATTCACTGGGGATCGCTGATGAGAGAGGGGAAGGAGCCCTCTCTCTCTCTTCAGCATTTACTACAAATGGGAAAGTCCATATATGGTAAATTATGTCACTGGAGATCCCTGCTGATCGGATCCGATCGGCAGGGATCGCCAGTGACATCATTTACCATATATGGACTTTCCCATTTGTAGTAAATGCTGAAGAGAGAGAGAGAGCTCCTTCCCCTCTCTCATCAGCGATCCACAATCAATTTAGTATGTCAGTGTCAGCAGGGAGAGAGAGAGGGGGGAATGAGCTGGCACACGGGGATGTGCAGGTAAGGAGAGAGCTGCTGCGCATGTCCATATATTCGTGGTAATGTCTTCTCATTGCGGCGCTTAGCCCCGCCCACCACCTTAAATAAGTTTTACAGCCTTACTGTGCATTTTGGCTAATTAGAGTAAATTACATTATTTACTTATTTAGCCTAAGGAATGCATTAATAAAAAAAAGATAGAACCCCATAGTTCTCCTTTAATTGTTCCTTGTATCAGTTATGCTATGAAGGGAGTAGGGGCAATATGCACAGAAGTAAACATGTGAATATGTATGGAGCTACGTATTTGATATGCTTTTTATGATGACTGCTACCTTTTAATTGTTGATGATAAATAAACGATGAGAGTTTTATGTATAATTCTGTACCCCTTTTCACTTTTATTTTTTGTTATCACACTTTGGACACCTGAAAAATCCTTACAATTAATAACTCTAAACTCCTCTCAATTCGTTTTCTAGGATGCAGTGTCCTTTAATTAGCATCTGTATTGCATTCCCCTTTTAAGAGGTATATTTACAAACAATCTGCAAAATCATTTTTTCTGCGAAGCTCTGTGAACGTTCATTCCCTGCAAGGCAAAAATAAAGGTTCTTAGTATATTTTCTTTCAAAGTCAAATGTAATGTTTGGAAATACTGCATTATGGCTAACAGATGGAGCTGAGGAGCATAGGAAAGAAGTATTTATTTCTTATGCTCCTAACCTTCATCTAGTGGCCATAATGCAGTATCTTCCCGATATTATATTCAACTTGGAAAAAAATATGCAAATTACATTTGTTTCCACCTCCATTTTCACAGAACGAGGTTCTGAGGTTACATAGGTTGAACTCAATGGACCTTTGTGCTTTTTCAACCCCAAATACTATGGGGTCTATTCACTAAGCTGCCGAGGGCATTGAAGAGGGACAGAGGGACCGAGCAGAACAGAATATTTGTTTAAAAAGTTAAAAAAATAAATAGAAAACAATTGTGTGGAGCTAGCAATGACAACTAGCTCCGCCCAACTGTTTTCTATTGTCCGGCGGTTCTGCTGCCGTCCAAAAAAAAAAAGAAAAAAAAATTCTCCCGGGCGCTCTGGGAGTCTCCTGCTCCCGGCCGCCCAGGAGAGAAACACTGCTTTTTCTTTATTCTGACATGAAGCCGTGTCAGAATAGAAAAAAATATATACATTTTTGCCCATAGGAATACATTGTTAGATTCCTATTGGCTATTTCAATTTGCAATAGCTAATAGTAAACTAGCATTCTACCCGCCCTTGCTGTTGGACCTGATGGAGAACTGCAGCAGAGGGCGGGTGCAATGCTAGTTTACTATTGGCTATTACAAATTGAAATAGCCAATAGGAATCTAGCAATGTATTCCTATGGGCAAAAATTATTATTTATTTTTTTCCATTCTGACACGGCTCCGTGTCAGAATAAATTGGCTAGATCCTTCGGCTGCTTCGTGAATAGACCCCTATGTAACTATGTAATGAACATTCACGGAGTTTCGTACGATGAATGGCTCTGTGAGTTGATTATAAATACACCCTTTCAGTTAGGCAAAATACTATAAGATATAACACAATGAGCAGTCTCAGCCTTTAAATTACGCTTTCAATATTTGCATGCAATACTCGCCATTGATCATTTTCATTACAATGGATACAAATATGTAAAACCTCAGCAAAGTTATATTTAGGTTTAGGTTCTAAGTTATATTCAATCTAAAATCTGTATTTCAACTATCTCCATTGGTACACGATCCACATACCTCTAAGTTGCGCAAAAGATAAACCTTGCTTATAACACAAAGTTATTATTTAGCAGTTAGTATACAGAGACAAAAAAATATGGTGGTTAATTATCAGACAGGTAAGCTAGATAAGTTGGAAGGTATGTTTCTGTGAATAAACTGAAGCTCCGGAATAGACAAGGATACAGTCCCTTCCTGGAAAGAGGATCTTGTGGCGGACCATTTCTCCCATAATGCATCCCACAGACCAAATATCCACTAAAAGTGCAGAAACAAGGCCATTAAGACGTGGAAAGAGGGGAAAAAAGCAAGGTTAGCAAGGAAGGTCAATTCCTGAAGCATGGAGGGGAAGAAGCAGATTAAATGGCATGAAAACATGTTATCCCCACCCCCACAAAAATATAATTGGGAACACTTATGAAAACTGGCTTACAAAATGTGTTTCAACCCACACCAGCCAATCAGAATTCTTTCCAAACACTGCAAGAAAAATGTGATGAATGTGATTGATTGATTGATTGCTATGGGTCTAGCAGCTATCACCCAATGTGACAATTTTCATAAGCATTTCCCCTGTATTTTAATTAAAATAAAAAGGCATATGATAGCAGCAAAATAGCAGCTTAAAGTAAATGATTCCGTTAACAAAATACCCCTTTTAGCAAATAGGTGAGCAGATTTTAAATGCCACCTTGCAATTGTACAGATGGGGATAAGTCAGAACTGAGGAGAATGAAAAGGTTGAAGATGACAGTCAGAAAATAAGCAATAAAGTGCAGTAGAATGAAGGATGTGAAAAGATCTAAATAAGGACATGTCATTTTCTGAATTCATTTATAATGAATGTGATTAGACTAAAATAAATTTGTTTCGATGGAAGAGCAGGACAGCTTTATTTCAGTCAAATCAAACAGTTGTGATATTTGCTTATTACAGCAAAAAAAGGAGAAACTTAAATATATAAAGAAAATAAATGTATGGCTGTCCTTGCAGATTAATCATCATGTATAAAATGCACAACATGCCTTTCAGTATATGAAAATAGTAAATTAGGTCAGTCTGGCTATACAAAGATTGCATACATCTTCTAAAGGGTATACATACATCTTCTATATCTTCATATATCTTCTAAAGCAGGGGTGGCAAACACAAGGCCCGCCGGACCTTGTAATGTGGCCCGCACATGTTTCTCTTAAGTTGAACCTGTGTTGAGCGTACATGCATGCCATGACCCCTTTATTTTCTATAGCCTTTACTGGATGGGTGGAGGCCGCCATGAGTATGGACCATCCAGAGGAATGAATGAGGCCGCACTAGGCCCAGGACCAAGCTGGGATGTGTTTCTTGCAAACACTGTATGGCCTCAGATGGTACCGCACAGTAAATAATCTTAGGGCGTGGATGAAGATGTGTGGGGCTACATTTAAAGGACATGTTAAATTTACAACACATTTTAAATTTAAGATACCAACATGACTATTTCAGTTTGCTCTACACCACTGTGATCATGATTCACACATGGCTAATATACATAGATAGACACAAAGATGGATCAAACTATATCACAGTACACATGATTTAGGTGCTGGTTTTCTTTAAATGATCAAATGTGACATTTAAAGCACAAAAAGAGCAGGTGAGTCATTCTTGACATATAGCTGTCATTATCACAGTGCTCTTCAAGATGGCATACAGAAGAAATGTTGCTGTGCCATATTAAATTGTACATCCAGTGCTTAATCACATCCCACTTATAACAGCCAGATGTCATTACAATCCTAATCCTAGTCTGGTTTTCTTGCTTGTTTACTTCAATCCAATGCTATTTTTGCAATATGCGGTATACAGTCAAAAGTTTTGTGCATATATATATAAAGGGGGAAGTGAACAACTAGCAGCCAAATACTTTTCACTTTTTTCATCAGAACAATCAAAGGTACTTCCTTACTGGTTACTTTAAAGTACTGTACTTTAAACATTCTTTTCTACTTTATCAAATTCAATTATTTGTACAGTTTCCTTTAGATTTACCAGCAAATATGTGGTGCAATGGGCTACCTATATCAAGGGTACAGATAAATCCCTATTTCTGAATCATCATGTTCCACACAGTTTAAAATATCATGTGAAATCATTTTCTTGCAATCTTCTTCAGATCTAATTTACCAACAGACTGTGTCTAAGGCACAGCCTACCATTTTCCTTGTATCCCATTCCAAGAATGACCTCTGGTGCTCTGTAATAACGTGTTACTACATAGGGAGTCATCATGAAGCTAGTGCCAGCCGTCCTTGCCAATCCAAAATCGAGGATCTTCAATGTGCAATCTGATTTCACAACTATATTACTTGGTTTTAAATCCTGTTTGGGAAATGATAGTGCATTAGTGTATTTCTTTCTTTTTGTTATATTCAGAATCACACAGCAAGCACTCATACACTGTTCATATTAATGCCGCAAATATCACACTTTTCATTCTGGCCATGCACCTTAATATTTAAAGCAGCACTACAGCCCACTTGGAGAACATATTAAAGCAGAACTCCAGCCAAAAATAACAAGATAACAATGAATAATACTGTTGTATACAGTACTACTTTTCTTCCACTAGATGTCTTCAGTCTGATGGCCATCATCATTCAATCCATTTCTTCTAAGCCCAGGCGGCCATGGACCCACCCAGCTTGTGACTGCACAGGGAAAAGTGAAGCAGCACAGTGAAGAGCTCATCTCTGATTTACTGTATGAGTTGCTTCTTCCACTCTCAGTCTGAGCTTTGCTGTCAGAGGGTGAGAAGTCAAATTCAGGTACTTTTTCCATAGTTCTCCTTAGGGTCACGGGGGTACATATATAGTGTCCTCCTGTGACTCAGAACTCAGCATATAGTGGGCTATTGCCTGCTATATGCTGAGAGTTCTGCAGCCGAGACAGATCCCGAGAATACTGTTGAGATCCAAAACACAAAAATTCCCCAGCCCCAACCTGCCAGCCAGCCTGCAACCAAACAAGTAGCCCTGTCAACAGTATGCGTTAAAATCAGAGGTTTTAGTTGCACAAACGTTTGGCCAAAAATATGTAGAAGCCACACTGCCGCGCCAAGGCACCTCTGCAAAGTGTGGTCCTAACTCTATGTATCTGAGTCTCCAAGTGTGAGCATATTAATTACTGTTGAGATCCATCGCGCTGGCTGATTGACAGCTGGCCCTGCCTCTCTAAAAGCAGAGCCAGCTGTGCCCTCCCCCATCTGGAGGATCTGAGAGGGGAGGGGGGAATCTCTGCGGGGAGCGGTGGCTGACAGTCACCACTCTCTGCAGTGAGATGAGCGGATCGGCAGTATGTTCCGATCCATAGAGCCGACATGTGACAATCTCAATGTCACATGTCGGCTATAACTATGGGGATAATGGTAATTTACTCACCCCATAGCTCTCATTTAAATATGTATACTCTATGTTAATTTATGATCTCCAAGCAGTATTTCTGTAAATGCTGACCCTTTGCCATGTTGACAAAATATCTCATATACAAATCACTTAGAAAAAACAGGTGCCTTGACAGATCTCCAGATTATGATTCTGCTGAATATATTCATGAAGATTTGTCCAATCTGCATAGAATGTGATTTACAGGTTTCATAGACTGCCTGATTCTATGCAGATCATACTCATCTACAAATATTCAGGACAATTAACAAGTGTATTCAGTCACTCCCATTTTCTTATATACTTCAAGCATAATATGTAGTTTCCCAGTGCATAATTATACATAGATCACTGAACTTCTTTGATCAATCAAGCAATCAATAAGAATTAAAAGTATTTCAATAAATTGCTTTCTAGTAAATATGTTGTCAAAGCTGTTAACACAGTTATCTGGCTTTGCTAATATTAAAGCAAAAAAGGCCATAACAGAAATTATTCATACTAAAAAAAAAAGTGATCACTCGCACATATCAGAGTATATTGGTATTACTAACCCTGTGTATAATTCCAGCAGAATGAAGATGCTTAATGCCACATAGCATCTGATACAACAAGTAAGACATCCTCTCGTGATCCAGTTCCATCTGAATCACCTGACATAGATTGGCATCCATCAGTTCCATTACTAGGTAGCTGGGAAGAAATAATTAAAAAGATATATCAGTTAAAACAGGTTTTGAATGTACAGCTGCATTCCCAACACTAAAAAAAATATATACTCTATTTCACTCACTGTGTGTATGTTGGGATTACAAAATAATCAATAACAAGCTCTTACATCCTCAGCTTTAGTTACAGAGATTACCAAGCATGTTTGAAAATCTTTGTGTGAGATATTCAAAGTAGAGTTCAGGAAGATACTAATTTCAGTTGCTTTTTGGAAACCCAATTTCAGCCAAAATGCTTTTATTTTAGTTTTTCTAGTGAGCTGAAAAGGTTGAAACTTCTGTCTACAATTGAGTCATCTTCCCTCCTTTGCTGTCCCCATCACAGTGTGTCGCTGGAATAGGAAATTAGGGTAAATCTCTCCATATGATATAGAAAAAGGAGCATTTGTAGAATATGGCAGGATTGTCAATTTTTTTTGTTTTCGGTGGTTTTTTTGTGGGGTGCAGGACCCGAGAAGTAAGAGAAGCCTCCTCAGCTGTCGGTCTCTCACCGGGTTCGTGATACAGGGACAGCAAGTGTTGGATCTTCTCAATGGGCACAAAGACAGCAAATCCAGATGGATGTTCTAAACCTTCCCTATACTATCCCCAACTAGACTAAAAATGGTTTGAGTGATGATGGGCATTAAACATTCTGCATTAGTCATCTTAAAAAGAATAAACACGTGACCCTAAGGAGACCCTAAGGAGACCCTAAGGAGAACTATGTCTGATTCAAGCATCACTTGCAGCAACAGGACTATGAATCCATAGCAAATTTTTCCAGATATGACAATACAACAATGACTACTGTTCATACTTTTAAAGCCAGAGAACAAAGTGTAAATTTCCTGTGAGCCACATCTATCCATCATCCTCTTGGTGAGATAACTGGCCAACTATAGTCAGCCATTGTCACCTACACTGAGTGGCCTATCAGCATTACAGCCTTGACTTCACCAGATATTTCTCTATATCTCAAACACACACAGACAGTAATAAGGTGTAGCATGCTATGTAAAGGTGGTTAGATCAGTTCGTAAAAAGTTATAGGGATAATTAAACTTAAATTAAAGTTTAACACATTTTTTTCAGCATTATTTTGCAAATGTTTCTGATTTCTTTGACTCAAATCGCTGATGTTCAGTGCAGTACTTGCATTAACTAAAGTCTGCTAAAACGTTTATATATCCTAACTAGTACGGCATACGTAAAGCAACGATCCTGCAATATCCATGAAAAAGAAACTCACCTAAGGTTATTTTAAGTGGGTTTTATCTACTCTAATATTCTTAGTGATAAACAATACACTGTTCTGAAGATAGTGTATCTCCTGTTTTAAACTTCCTGCAAGTAGAGCTGTGTCCTGCAGTCAATACTGTCTTGAGTTTATCTAATAAATGAAGGTAGTTTCTCCGCCTCTGAAGATTGTCTTAATTTAATCAACATTACTTACACATCCTGGAACTCCTCAAGAGACTTCTGTGGTGTAAAGACATTTAATAAGCTGATAATCTAAAAGAAAAAAGGGAAACAAAGACAAACTTATGATAAGAAGCAAAATGCAATTATAGTTTAATTTACAAAATCATTAAGCAAATGAAAGTTTGATAACAACTTTCTGCAGTCTTACTGAAGAGGAGACATTGGAGAAAAGATAAACTATCAGAGGGCACTTGGCAATGCAGGCGCATTCAAACCTCTGAATGATATTTTCTTGTAGAAATTGATTTTTAGATTCCTCCAGCACCACCTTATCTTGGGGAAAAGCAATACCAATTGCCCCAAATATTGAAAAATATCTCTTAGATGCTGGATGTCTAGTGCTGATTGCTGGTGTCCATAGACAAGGGGTTATCATGTAATTGTGTATCCTAATCTCTCTATGGGCATACACTAAGGGGTCTATTCACAAAGCTGTCGAAGGATCTAGCCGTAGCTTCGGCTGATCCTTCGGCTAGCTTCGGCCCCAGGACCCCTTCGGTTCACTATAGCCTGTACAGCTCCCGAAGTTGGCCGAGCGGCTCCGCTCAGTGGCAGATCAGGGTCCTTTGGTTACCAGGGACGCTGATCTGTCAGTACACTGAGGACCCGGCGGAGCCACCGTGATATCACGCGGCTCCGCCGAGTTCTCAGTGTGTAATGACAGTTCAGCGTCCCCTGGTTACCTAGTGATCATGAGAGCTTGTCGGAGCTGGCGGTGATATCAAAGCCGGCTCTGCTAAGCTCTCATCGTAATGACAGAACAGCGTCCCCTGGTTACTGGGCTTTGATATCACCGCCGGCTCCGGCAAGCTCTCATTGTAATGACAGCTGGTCCTGGCCAATAGAAAACAGTTGGGCGGAGCTAGCTGTCACTGCTAGCTCCGCCCAATCGATTTCTTTTTTTTCTACAGTTTTTCTATTCTGCTTCGTACCACAGAGGTACCGAGCAGAATAGCCAAGCTCGGCAGCATTCGGCTATTCACTCACTGCTGCTCGGCCTCTATGAGAATAGGCCGAACAGCAGTGAGTAGCCCGCCGGAGGTTCGGTTCAGCTGATTCAGTTGCTGGATCAGCTGAGTCGAACTCCTTCTGCACTTCGGGTCGGCCGAACATGCTGTGCATGTTCGGCCGACCCGAACCCAGCCGCAGCGAGCCGATGTACGGCTGATTTCAGTCGGTGTACGGCTGAAATCAGGCGTACAAGCCTGAAGTGAATAGCCGAACAGCGTTCGGCTCACTTCACTTCGGGTAAGTTATTAACACGGCTGCCCTCGGCAGCTTTGTGAATAACCCCCTAAGAATTTTCCTAATAAAGCTACAGATCCAAGTGTTACTAAATTTAATCTCTTTTTTTGCAAAATATAATTGAGCAGTAACTCCAGAGAGAATGATCAAATAAGTAGGTCAAAGATTTTCAAGGACACATTTCTGATCTTCTGTTGATAATAGATCTGCTTATATTAACCTAGTAACATAGTATGTAAGGTTGAATAAAGACCATGGTCCTTCCAGTTCAACCTATGTATGTGAGTGTGTGTGTGTATTTATCTTACTCTAACACTTCCCATATGCCTGTAGATTCTGCAAAAGAAGAAACTCATCCAGAGGTTTTTTGAATTTAGCAATGTTATCTGCGATACAACCGCTAGTGGTAGGGAATCCCAAACTTTCACTACTCTCCCAGTGAAATAGCCCCTACAAATTCTAAGACTGAACCCCCTCTCTTCTACCTTCTTGTTGTGTCCCCGGGTTCTCAATACAGTTTTGGGATTAAACAGTTTGTTCCCAATATTGTGGTCCCCATTGATGATTTTGAAGACTGCCATAAGGTTCCATCTTAATTACCTCTTTTCTAAGGTGAATAAGTTCAGATTTTGAATGGCAGTGTCCATTAGCCCTAAAAGTGAGCAGAACTTATCAACAAGATTTGCCTACCATAGACTTTAACCACTTGCTGACCCGGGTATTAAACCCCCTTCCTGCCCAGGCCATTTTTCAGTATTCAGCGCAGCGGTACTTTGACATTTATTCCGTCATGCAACGCTGTACTGAAATGAATTTTATACAATTTTTTAGGGACAGATAGAGCTTTCTTTGGTGGTATGTAATCACCACTGGTGTTTTTATTTGTTACTGTACCCAAATTTTTGGTAAAACATAAAAGACGGGGTCATGTCAGGTAAATAGACACCAAACATGTCAAGCTTTAAAATTGCGTACGCCCGTGAAGTCGCAAAAAAATACCATGCCTAAAATTGTCCATAGGCAACGCTTTAATAGCTTTTACCGCTCACCAATTTAGTGTTATTAGTGATTAATTGCCCTACAATTATTGCTCACACTCCGACGTTCGCAGCGATATGTAACATGTATGGCGTAATGGTTGTTTTCGCACTTTTTTTACACTTAACTTGATTGCTAAAAAGACCCCAATGTGATAGCCAAAAACAATGACAGGTCCTCTTTATGGAGACATCATTGGTCTGTAGTATATGCATTGAGGTGCATTGTAGTCAAGTGTGCTGTGCTGTACAATGTGTTGTGGCGCCATTTACAACAATTGGCTTTGCAACACACATAGGGCAGGTGCATTGTTGCCATGCATCCTGGTTTTAACATGTGCATGTTGGCACCCATTGCCACAAGTGTGAATGGTCCCTTATGGCTTGTCTAGAAAAATATATGAATGCAAATGTAAAAGTATTACATACACTACTACTTTGTTACATGTGCTAATACAGCTACATATCACCATATGCAAAAATGTTTCTCTAAGTCTAGCAACACGACATTGTCCTTCAGTTTGCTGAACAAGCTTGTTCAATAAATCCCTGTATTTGCTGTACATTTACAAAGGCTAAGCATTTGTTTTCTACATAAAATGAAAGCCTGAAAGTGCCTTCAGCCTTCAGCTGATCAATTGTTTGTTCGCTGGGTTCTTACCAGTATAATTTATTAAATCCCTATAAACACAGTTCTAGCACAAGATGTGCCCAGTGTCTTAATGTGGTATATTAACTACTGGCAAGCAATGTAAGAGGTGAGGCAAAATAAATTATGCTTACAGCAGATTCATTCAGAGATAAAAGACAAAAGTGTGCACTTTTGTAGAAGATCTGGCAATTCACAAAATAATTACAGCACACTAGACATGTGCGATTCGTTTCGTTACCCAGAATTGTTTATTTTTTCCCTCTAGCCCATTGTACAGTATTTAGCCAATGGACACACATCTGCCAGTTATGTGGACCATTAGGAAGGAATATGCCAAAAATGACTGATTAAACCCAGAATTGTTTATTATTTCCATCATTACTTTTCCTTTATACTGGCTTTTTAAAATTGCAACCAAGATAATTAAGAGATAGGTTGAAGGCTTAAGTGGAAGATAACACTTCTGGTACTTAAATAGTAAATGTTCATAGATGTCTGTACATCAGCCCCAAAAGAGGGGACAACTCAGGAGGAAAGAGGGACTTGGTTCTAAAGGCAGACAGCCCCTTGAAATGATGGACATTTGGGAGGTATGGTTAACAACATATCCAACCCCCTTGAACACTTGTCTATAAACACACATTTATGATTATTGGCTAGAATTCCACTTCAACCATACCAATCTGACTCCTGAATTGTAATGCAGGTGTCTAGATTTCAATTTCTTCTTAAGTGACCCTGAAGCCCTGAACACATGGTACTCCAATCTATTGTTGCGCTCTGGCTCACCCAATTTGCACCCCCCAATGAAAATGACTAACTGTGAAGAAGAAGCAGACAAAGAGAAAAGCAGGAGCTTAACTTTCCAATCTGCGGTCAGTATTCCCATAACTGAACGCTGCCATTTTTGTGACTCTTGGGGCACTCAAGAATATGTAAAAAATTATGTTTAGGCAGGTGCCCACGTTACAATCTAGAAGGGTGTTGACCACAATTCAGATAATAATACACTTTAGAGTCAAGTTGAACCCCATTTTTTATATGTGTATATACGTGATGAAGTCAGCCATTAGTGCTAAAGCCTTTAGTAAAGTCTCCTGTGAAAGCAGCATGCTAGGGATCTGGATCGCTGCTCTCACACAGAGTTCTTGTATTCACCCCCCCTGAACTTTTCTGCAGGCAGCCTGTAGTGGGTGGACCTACTGGACCCCTCCCACAGTGCTACTCTCTTCACAGGCTATGTGCTGCGCAATGATGATGTCACTGCTATGTTTACAAGGTAATAACTGATTTATATACTTCGTGGCTATTTGAGAAATATATTTAAGTGAAAATGTTTGTGCCCAGAGTTGATCAGTGTTAAGGCTGGAGTCAGCCACTTCTTGTCCCCTACACTCAATGACAAACTGTGTATGACAAGGTTTTCTGTTCACTCAAAGCAGACCAGCTTGCTTTTGAGCTTAAAGTGTAACTCAACCATAATTTTACTTTATAAGTTATACATAGGATTGGGTCTTTAATGGGGCGGTTTTCCCTCACTTCTGGTCCCAGGCAGACAGCATTAAAAATGTGACAGAGCTTCTAACAGCTTCTAAAATTCTTTTAATTGCTGTATGTATTTATATAGGAGAGATATCCCATGCCAGTTGACCACCCTCACTAGGAGAGAAAGTGAAACACTTCCCCATTCTATCAAAACAAATGCCATGTCATTTGGCTAGCGTGACACTTTAAGGGAAGTCATGCCGAAAAACTTAAAAAAAGGTTATGTGTACTCTGCATTTTATTAAATAATGTGTAGCAGAATCATCCAAGAATGTGGACAATTCAATAAAGGCGCACATCACAGTGCAATGGCTGTACTCAACAGAGAAACCACAGAAATTGATAGGTTTGAATGCGTACTGTCAGTTTTTCAGCAGTAAGGTTGACCTATCAATAGGCTAACAGGTCTGCATGGAAAAATAGTGACGTGATAATGTACAAAAACAGTATCTTAATTCAAAAAGCTGTGCCTTTATCATTAGAAAGTAGCCTTTGAGCTCCCTGCAAGTGTCTGAACCTAGACCTAAGTGGTTCAAATGTGGGAGAATTATGTCATCAGCCTGCTCCAGGCAGCAGGAAACCATTTTCCCAGTCTCTACCTCAGTGATCATTAACTGGGACTGTTATGTTATCAGTTTTTGGCACCTCACAAGAGGCAACAGCATGTAAAACATATAAAGAAGATCCAGAAAATAGACATCCATATCAAATAATGTGTTACTCATTTTTGTAATTTGTCTATTTTGTTTTGTAACTCAAGTATGCCACAGAAAAAGTAATGAAGGGCAGAAAAGAAACTTACATTTTTATGATTTACACACTTCATTAGGACCAGTTCCCTGTATGCCCGTTTGGCATGTGTTTGATTTTGAAATGGTCGGCTAAGTTTCTTAATGGCCACATTTCTATCAAGGACAGCATCGTAAGCAGCACTGAAAGACAAGAAACACACATGAGAATTGTAAGGTCTGGTAGTAATATTTCTAAGAAAATCATTCATTACACCCCATAAAACTTCAATTCCTTCTTGGTTAGGTACATTGATCAATTTCTGTGATTAATGACATAATGTTACAATTTGATTATTAAAAGGTTAGGAAAAAGATTCAAGAAAACTGGGCATCAAATTGAAATCTACTGAGGTCCTGAAGTAGTTATTAGATGTAACTTAGTAGGCCACATGATCTTTCATCACAAAATCACTTGGAGAAGTATTGGCAGAGTAAAATGTACTCTTCCCAATACTTAGTGTTGGTGGGGTACATTGCAGATGTCACACTCCAGCTCTATAAATCGAGAACTGAGCGATCACAAAAAGCTGATCGCTCAGCTCCCTATATTCTCTCTGCAGAGAGCAGGGACGGTCAGTCACCGTTTCCCACAGGGATTCCCCCCTCTCCTCTCTCTGTTTCTCCAGCACTCATAACAGGGACAAACAGGGGAGGGGGGTAGTTCTCTTTTAAAAGAAACCTGTCGTAAGAGAAACATGGAGGTTGCTGAGCTCACCTTTTCAAAATGGTAGCTACTGGCTGTCATGCTGACCTATATGCATCAATACTTTTAGCCACTAATCTAAAGATTAAGACTTCCCACTTTTTCTCTGATTTTCCTAATCTGTTTAAATTGTGTCTAAACCCCAAACTAATATTTATTATATTGCAGCTTACCAATTCTTAAATGTGTTCCTTTTAAGGCTTTTTTTCCTTTATTTGCACCTGGTGACACGGCTAGCACACACTTGCTGTCTAAGGGCCCTGCCACCCATTAAGAGTGCATTACAGTGCGTTCATCCTCTGGAACGCACTTGAATGCAACTCGGCCAGCTCACTTTGTTTTGGGGCGGGAGGGGGCGTGGCGGTGCATTGAACTCAATAGCACCGCAGCCATGTGTGATCATCGGCACCTGAACACGTGGCACATTAGTGCCTTTGTTCTGGTCCAGTGCCATCTACAAAAAATAGTGCCACGCCCCCTCCTGCCCCCAAACAAGGTGAGCCGGCCAGGTTGTGTTCCAGTGCGTTCCAGAGGCAGAACGCACTGGAATGCACTCTTGATGGTGTGACTGGGCCCTTAGGGTGGTTCTACTCTATCGAGGAGCAAAGGAGCCACCCTTGGACAGTAGCATTGTCAGCCTGTGAAGAGAGCAGTGGTAGATGGACTAGCAGATTTAGATAGACATGAGTGATAAATTATATGAACTTCAGCTAACAGTTTTGGGGTAGTTACAGTAAAAGTTGTATTTTTTTCCTTTTGGGATAAAGGTTCTACAAGCTGACCCTGTAAGCACCCCTGTCAGTGTTAAATGGTTTTCTCAACTCTATCTGCCACTTTTGCTGGACAGCTTGGTATGTTAATGGAAGATGATAAATAACAGACTTGCTGGCTAGAAAGAAAGTCTAAAAACAAAAGAAAGCTAATGCAGCTACCACAGCTAAGGATTGATAAGCTGCAATATATTAAATTGTTTCTCTTGGGTCTAGGCATGCTTTATTTTTTTTGGTTCAGTATCTAAACCAGCAGGTCATCATAACAGACAACCAGACAACTAGAATTTCTTGAAGGAGATAAGCAGTGATAGCCTCTGTAATCCTCTAATTACATGGATACTTGATGTCTACAAATGGAAGACAACTCCTGAAAAAAGTAATGTTTATCACTTGCAACATTATTACTTCTAGTGTTATACTTCCCTACAACTGTCGAGAAATAAAATATATAGTAAGAGTACTCAATTTTAACCCAAAATAACACTTATCTGTGTGGCAACCTAAGACTTTAGACAAACCTCTTCCATTCTGTTCCACTGGGCCTTATTTGAACCATGCACCAATCTCCCCCAAGCATCAAGCCTGTGAACCTTAAAGGGTATCTATGGTCAAAAACTAAAAATAAATATATTTTTATGTATTTAATTTCCATAAGTTCTATCCCTTTCCTAATAATCATTTCAATCTATTTGAAGATGCACATAGGATATACTTCCTCAATGCACTGAAACAATTCCACTCAGCCCTGTGAATATGCATTTCCTTGTGTCAACACCCTAACTAAGCCTGCCATCTGAACTACAACTTACCGTCCAAACTCTAAACAGACCCCTGATATTTCCCTTATAAAATAGAAAAAAAGATTGAGATTGGTTTCGTTGTATACTAATGTCAGTATATTTTTAAGTGTTGGTTTGTGTGTGTGTGTTCTGTCAGGATTTCTGTGAGTGATGTCGGTATGGGTGGTAATGTTTCTGTGTGTGTCATATCAGTATGTATACATGTGTATATGTGTGTGGCTTTTTCCCCCACAGGTTTTCATTTTAATTATAGAGGACCAACAGATTCACAAATTCACTCACAAACCGAAATACGCACACAGAGAAATAACCCCCCTGCCACCCCCCC